AGAATCTTGTTTTTACACCTTTGTTTGTTATATTTATAAAATAGGGTAAAGTCGGGAGAGATGGCGCACCTTTTTTCAAATTGATATAAAAACTGTAATTTTACGAAAATTGTTCATGTATGTTCAGCAGACCACAAAGTATCAAATTTTGAATAGTAACGCCGAAAAATTCTTACGAGTTTTATAAAAAAAATGAAACAAAAACTGCTTGAAAAACCATCTCACCCGTCCTAGTATGGGTGTGATGGCGCACCACATAAAAATCAATGAGGGTGAGATGGTTTATTAAAAATAGGCTTTAAAATTAAAAATAAAAACATTAAGTAGTTAAAGAACGAAAACTAAAAAATATGTATATACCTATATAAAATATGAAAACTTGTAAAACATCAGAATATACAGGTGTACAAAAAAAGTAAATATCTTTAAACAACGAACTTAAAGGAAATTGTTGTTGGAAGTTTTTCTGTGTGGCAGGTGCTAATAAAAGCCAGAAATTAACCTTTTCAAAAAAATTGGGTAAAAATTAATGAAGAGTTTATAAGTTATTTCGCCTTTCTGCCACATCGTAAGCACATATTTGGATAATTGGTGCATCCCTCGTGAAGCCATATGTGACAAGTAGTACACTTGATCCAATCTTCCTGGCTTGATGTGGTTAGATAATTGTCACCACACCCTACGCATTCATTTTCGTAATTATCTTCCTCAGAGCATTCGCTGTCTGATTCCAATACAATCTCAAATACAAAATACATTATACGAACTTTTTAACATACATATTATTTATTTATTTATTTATTAATAATAGGAGTTAGGAACATAACAAAAATTGGAAAACTTAAAACATTTTGCATACAAGCGTTAACGTTAACAAATTTCTCACACTTTTTCAGTCTCATAGTCATCAATCTGATCATCACTGATGGAATTAAGCTCTTTAAAAATTGAAACCAACTTAGCCGCTTTGACATTGCCTAGCTGATTACGTACTTTTGAATGGACTAAACCGTATGATGAGAAGAGTCTTTCTATGTTGACTGACGATGCAATAGCTGTATGAAGCTGTTGAGCAAGTTCCAATGCTGTCGTATTTATATTTTTTATAGAACACCACCATGCCAATGGTTTTACTTTTACATTCTCATTCCCAATTAGATGTTTAGAAAACATATATGGTTTAAAGGGTGGACACTTTGCCTGGTAATTAACAATAATTTGCAATGCTTCTGGATGGTAGGTTTCTACATATTCCATGCTAGTTTCTATTTGCTCTTGACTAAGTTTATTTCCTCTAAAGCGATGATCAAGCAAATTTGCCAAAAAATGAGCTGGGGTCAAAGCCATTTCCATACGCTCCTTGACTTTATTCGTATCACTTACCGAAAATTCTCCATTTGCTTGTTCACTATCGAATGCTTCCAAAAGTTCTAGCCATATCTTTGTAGCCTCTTCTATAGTGCAAGTGTTTCTTTGGACTTTGTCCAAAGCAACTGCGATATACTTTAATTTTTTTAAATAGTCTTGGCATTTGTCTTTAAATTGGTGTCGTTTACAAGCTTTATTATATCATTATCAATACTTATTCTGTTGTTTGGGCAAACGTCGAATAATATTGGCCAGTTTTTCAAGTAACTTCCCAAGCAGTCCGATAAAGTATTCCAACGAACATCCTGAGGCAATACAAGAGCAGAACCACCAGCTTTTTGGAATTTTGCGCTAGCAAAATCTACAGTTCTGAAATATTTACAAACTTTTTTGATATTACCCTTTATTCCTGGCACTTCTATATCATGGGCAAGTAAGTTCAATTTATGGGCTGAACAACCATAAGTTATTTCCTATAGTTTCCTGTCTATTTCCTCAAACAGATCCCTTCTCATTTTGGTCACATTTGCAGCGTTGTCTGTGACTATACTAGTTACCTTACAATTATATTCTTCACATTTCTTAATTGAATTTTTAAGTAGCTGTAATAAATACTCGGAAGTGTGACTATTCCCACTCGTATCAATGGACTCTATCAGATGCACCCGTTCACTTTCTATATCTGTAACACATACGCCTATTATAGGTTCATTATGAACGTTGCTCCAGCCGTCAAGCGCTAAACAAACCTTCTTATTGCATACATTTTCTTTAATTGTTGTTTGTACTGAATTATGAACCTTATCAAGCAAGTCGGTTGAAACAGAATTCCTAATTGGTGGCTTATATCCAGGACGTGCATTTATCATCTTTCTAAATTCGGGATGTTCAACTGCACGAAATGATGTGTTTGTTGCATATAAATATCGGGCTATTTGTAGATCCAACTTATTCTTTTCTGATTGGCTGGTTCGAATAACAAAGCTTGAAATGCTGCTTTTAGAAGTAGACGGTTTTGGCTGTTTTGGGGTCATCACAACGTCACTGTCATTTATACATAAAGTGCTATCGTTATCAGTAACAGAGATTGTTGATGCTGACGCTGACGCTGATGTAACCTGAGGGGTTATTTCTTTAATTATCTACTTTTATTAATTATCTATTTAATTCTCGAAAGGAAGTTTATTTAGTTATCATTATACTACTTGAAAGCCCTAAACTTTCGATAATTTGTGTTGACAAGAGTATTTTACTTTTTGCCCATCCGTTTTGGGAACTAATAAATAAATAAATGACTGCGCGTCCCGGCTTTTGTTACACTGACATGCTGAAAAAAAAAAGTTTAACCTTGAGAGTTAAAAACAACACCGTTATACGTTATACCGAAAAAATAAAAATTTAAAATTTAAATTTACTTGTATTATTATCTGGGTAAGCATCCCTTGAATATTTTTGGGTTTTGGATATCTCATCTAGCGTTAAATCCTCATTTGATTCGGAATCATAGATAGTTGACATTGGCAGCTGAGAATTTTCAGATGGAACACATTTTTGAATATGTTTCTTCATACGCAGTACTAGTCCAGCCATAATTACTTTACATTTTTTACATTTAGCAGTCACTGATTTTTTGTTATTATCTTTAACAACATCAAAATATGACGAAATAGCATCTTTCTTCCTTCCCATAGACATTTTTCAAAAAAAGAACACCACAAAATAACTTACTTAAATAAATGACTAACAGTACAGTAGACATTATTGCAATAGCCAACTTCCAATGCGAATTTATAAATAGTCTGTTCCCCTAGGCCAATAGTTCCTCATTGCAATTGGTTTTCTTATTAAGGGGATTCACCGGCACAGCCTCATGGCGGTGGCGCGACGTAGTTCGTAACACAGGGGTTTAAGGGCTGGAATAATTATCTCCTGTCTTCAATCAAAAAAAGGTTGGTTTTTGCGTCCGGATTTTTGTCTTCTAAAGCAGTGATAAAATCTTTTGCAGACATAATGTTTTTTCCAAATGCAACAGCTGCGTCTGCATCGGTTTTAACCTTCCACCTATGCCATCTGCCGCACTTTTGCCATGACCTGCTTCTGTGAATGACCAAGTTACTCTTTTTAAATTATAGTGGCCCCCAAAGTACGATACTAAGAAGAAATTTAGTTTGTTTCTATACTGTGACGTTGGGCCGTCACTTAAAAAGTGAATTGTGTGTGTCTAATTCAGGAACAAGGTTTTTCGCCATGAGGATCACTGGTCTCAGATGCGACCAAATGGCAAAAGGTCGGTGAGACAAATGATCGGATACTGAAGCAAACGATAGATGTTTTAAACCATCAGGGCTTTTAAAGTACATTACGCCAGTGTGCAGACTTAATTAGGGTTTAGACCCGCCGAAGTGAACGCTTTGGACTTCTTCAGTGTATTTACAACCATAATTTTCTGAGAAGTCTACATGGAGCACCACTTCATTTGAATCTAACTGCTCTTAAGTTTCTTGCATGTCTAAGTTGGTGAAAAGCGTTATATTCGTGCTTGAGAAATTGAGGCACAAGAAGGTCATTAGCTTTTTGTACTAACTGTTCTACATGACAATGAATTTTTTGTAGTGTTGTTACTTTAACTTCAATATCTTTGTTTTTGTCCTTTCTGGTTTGTGTTGTATTTACCCATTGATTGTAAAAAGTTTCTTTTCTGATATGTTCTTCATTAAGGTTTACACTGAGCTTCTTATTACTACAGCATTTGCACTCGCGATACATACAAGCTTTATCTTTTGAATCACAAACAATGGATTTAATGATTTCATGTGGAATTTTGATTTCTACTAATCTTAGATGATGCATTTTCTTTATAATCATCTTCACATTTTCATGCTTTTTGCATAAGGTTGTATCCCTTGAACTTGCTCTGAGTTTTAATATGTAAAATGGTTTCCATCTCCAAAATGTGGTAAATGAGATGTTCAAATTGTTTTTTTCATTAAATTTTTTATGTAAAATTCTTAAAGGTTGTGTTACAAATCTTTTCTGCTTCTTTACCTTCTTCTTTGTATCTGTATCACTTTTACCCGGAGCCAAAATGGAATTCTCATCATTACAAAAAAAAATCATGTACAAGTCGTTTCAGCTTTAGCATATTCTCTGTTCTTTTTACTTTTTCTCTATTCTACTTTTTTTTAATCGCTCGTCTGCTAATTAGACAACTACCTTCCTTCTAAACTTTGTATTTCTTAAAAATTGGGGATGCTATGACAGAACGTAAAATTTTATTTTCAGCTTCACCTGAATTTTTGACTTTATATTTAATTTGTCGAATTAAGCACTCAGAAAATAAAAGTTTTCTTTTCACTTCTTCAGTTGGCTTTCTTATAATTTCCTTGACTTTGGTATTTGGAGTAACGGATGATTCCATTTTCTTTCTTGCCTCTAGTCGTTGTGTTCTTTTTTATATCTTTCCGTCCTCCTTTCGGCATTGCGTAAAGAAACTCTTAAAGCAGATATTTCGTCCTTAAGTTTTTTATAATTGCGGCGACTTCTGTTATTTAAATTTCGATCAGCATGATTTGGTAAAATTATTGGCAGTAGAGTGGAGGGCGGTGTGTTTTCTATTAACTCGCGTATTGGTTTTAGTTTTCCTTCATCTCTGCGCTTTTTGTTTTGTTCCCTGATTTTTTGCTTGTATTCTTCGTGTCGTTCGGGATTTTCTTTAATTTTTTTACATTTGGCGCTTCTTTTTCTCTCCATTTGCGTCGCTGTTCTTCGGTACTGACAGGCTTTTTGTTTTTCTTTTTCTTCTTATTGTTATCTTTGTCTTGAAGTTCTTGTGTAGTAGGCAATCGGTTTGAAGAATTATCTGTCTCGGTGACACTTCCTGGTTGATTATATTGATATTCCTGTATGCCTGGGATATTTTCGTTCTCCTTTTTACGTTGTGATTTTCTTGATCCAGTTTTTTGCTTTACTTTATCATTGTCTTCAATATTGTCGCTTTCCTTCTTCTCTCGGGATTCATTTTGAATTTTACTTAATGCTGACCATTTTATTTTAATTGTACCCGTTTCTGATTTTTGTTCTTTTTTTTAGGTGATATTTTTCCCGCATCTTTTTCTTCTTTAGTTCATATTATTTTTGTTGTTTTGTTTGTTGTCTTTTATTTGCTGCATCTTCTTTTAGTACTTTCAGCTTTTGAATTAAAGCTTTTTTTTTCTTCGTCCATTTTAGCCACGATTTTACCTGTGAAAGACAATAACAGTCATTTACATTCCCCCGTAAGTCATTACATTCTCCCTTTAGAATTCACTCTGGGTGAACGTAATGACGGGGAATGTAATGACAAACACGCCAGTTTTTCCCTCCGTAAAATTTAAAGGTTATGTTAAAGATAACGCCGTTAACATCTTAGTGCTCCTTGGAATCGTATGCAAATATTTCATTGTTATTTTGAAAAGTGGCTATTTTAAAGTTGTTGTGCTAGGCCCAGGGAATGTAATTACCAAAAAATATGAAAAAAGACGTTTTCTTACCTTTAATAATCTGCTAAATTAAATAAAACTGCTGCAGCACAATGTTTTGAACACCATTTTGACTTAAACTATTTTTGGTTTGGAAAGCGTACCACTGAATGACTATAGGCGACATCTACCAGCTGTGCGCGGAAGATAAAGTGGGGGAATGTAAATGACATATGAACTTAGGGACCTACCTTTGACTTCAAAATAAGACCTGACTAATCTGTAAACACCATATTATAAACTTTTATGCTAGAGGGCACTACTAACAGTATTTGAATTTGGTTATTTGCTGTTTAAAAAGCACACATTAACTGTTAGGCATACAGGAATATAAAGCAAATTGGAGCTAGGGACAGAGAGTGTAATGACATTTTAGTTATTCTTCCTGCAATATAATAGTGTTGTAGTGTTTTTTTGTTCAAATAAATGACGATTATGAAAAGAAAGAAAGGATGTCAAGTTAGTTATATTTTTGTTATAGCATCTGTGAGGTCTAGGCAGAAAAAATCTTTAAGGGGCTTAAAGTGCACGCTTTGGTGAAAAATGCCCACCTAGTAGCCATACAAATTATTGAAATATTTACCTGGAGTTTCCATAATGTCTTCTTCATTAGAATTTGAAGTGGTTGGTACAGGATCATTATTTTCATTTCCATTTATTGTTGATGCTATTTCGTTGTTATTTTTTTCTAAATGGCTGGTAGGTGTTTCGCCAAGGTAAGCGTATTCGGGGATAATATCGGGATTTAATGGAAATATGCCTGTGGATCGAAAGGCAGATACGGCATTATCGACAGTTGCCGCTTTTGACCACGCTTCGCACATTAATTTTCCAAACTGCAGCCTATTTATAGATCTTGTAGGGTTAACTCTAATAAAAGTGTAGCACGCAGCGTAATAATATAATTTAAAAGCCTTAAACAATGCACGGTCTAGGGGTTGCAAGAACTGAGTCGTATGACTCTGAAGGCAGAGCAAGGTTATATTATTTTGTTCAGCATATTCCAGCAATTCGACACTACTGACATGGGACGAGTGTCCATCTAAAATAAGAACAACCGGGCCGTCAGGTTTTCGAGGAACAAACTGAGCTTTAATCCAATCGAAAAAAATAGTTGTGTTTACGTACGCGGATTTTTCGGACATGACAACTACCGAACCGGCGGGCATTCCATCTTCGTACTCATTCTTTTTATTTTTACCCTTAAAAATACAGGTGGGTGGAATAAACATACCCTCAGCATTGCAACATACAATCACTGATATTGTTTCACCCTTTTCCCCGGATGTAACGGCCGTAACATTCTTTGAGCCTTTTTCATCAACGACATATTCAGGTCTATTATTGAGCTGGAGCCCCGTCTCATCTATGTTAAAGATATTTGATGGTTTGTTTATTAGATTTTTCTCCAGCAAAGTGTCGCTTAGCAATTTGAAATAATCCTGAACATCTTTTAGATTCATGCCCCTTGCCCGTGCAATGGAGACGCCTTCGGACTTTCGTATAGATAAGTCAGAATTGCGATTAAGGAAGTTTGAAAACCAGGCTTTTCCAGGTTTGCCTTTTTTGAGCATTAAATTTATGGGCAGTTTTTAACTGATCTGCTAACTGGAAAACCATAGCACGCACCATAGACCTGGTTGGAGCAAATCCATTTTTTTGTAATTTTTGTATGTGTGTTACAATTTTCCGTTCATTTGCTTCGCCTAGTAATGCTAATGGTCCGAGAGCACCTTTCTTCGTATTACCTAAAAATTGAGGTACTCCTTAATCCATATACCGCAGAGTTTAAAAGACACTATTAACAAAACCAGGGAGGTACCTACTGACCTTGTTTTAATCTGCGTCGCAATGTTGTGCATGGCACATTAAATTGCCTGGAAGCTTCATTTATTCCCATCCCATTTTGTGAAGCTTCAATAGCAAATTTTAATTGATCTTCTGACCAGGAACCTCTAGAACTGCTGCCTTTTTTTTGAATTGTGTAGGCATCTATAATATAAAAGGGCATTTCTTTTTGAAAGTCTTGTTATTTTTGGTCGGGTGTGATGCCTGCGCCAACTAACCCGAACAATCGGGTTAGATGGCGCATTCTTTCTCTTTTATAAACCAAGCGATCAACAAAATTTGAGGTTAGGAGCACTAATTAAACATTTATCAAGCTAAATATACAAACTAAATACACCCAGCTTAAACCAGTAACTTTTTACAGGCATAAATATAAAATTATAAAAATATTTTCACGATAAATTCAATATATAGTTAATTTATTTTACCTTTTGACGAAGAAAACACCACTTCGGTAAACATGCACTTATTACGTATACGCACTAGTCGCCACCGTTGCCAGATGAATAGTCGTTGCGGTCTTTACAAAGAAATTATTACTACGCCGTCTCACCCGACTTTACCCGACCTTTATAATTATTATAAAATAAATTTCCAAATTTGAAAAGAAACTATAAATTTGAATAATATTATCAGTTTGTCATCATTCAACACACAAAACCTGATGCACATGTCACTGTAAACTTAGAATGAAAAAAAGCAGGAAATTCTCTGTCGGCATTTGGCAGAAAACTACGAGGACTAGGATTCTGGAATTAGACTTTATATTTTTAACACATAGATGCCACTCCAGTGTTAAAATTTAAGTGTATCCAAGCGAATACAACGGGCATGTTGGCCTTATATGAGATTCAGTTAATTTTTGTGCCGCTTGTTCTCATAAAAAGCTACTATACAGCGTGTCCCACTAGTGCGGGAAAGTCCAATATCTATGTTAAAATGAGGAATATATGGATTTTTCTTTTTACTGTGTTGCCACATTTCTCGGAATGTACAAATTAAAAATATATTCAACTATACAGGGTGTTCCACTTTTCCTGGACAGACACCAACTTTGGATTTTTAAATGGAAACACACATTTTTTATATNAAAATGAGGAATATATGGATTTTTCTTTTTACTGTGTTGCCACATTTCTCGGAATGTACAAATTAAAAATATATTCAACTATACAGGGTGTTCCACTTTTCCTGGACAGACACCAACTTTGGTTTTTTAAATGGAAACACACATTTTTTATATTTTTTTCGGATTCTACATAAAAAATAAAGGGTACTTTGTGTAGAATAGAAAATATTCACAGTTTTTGAGATATCCCGCTTGAAAGACTGACAGGCTATACTAATAGCTACTAAGCCCATTTTTTTTATCAGATGTTTAGTAAGGATGACTCTTCCGAATCATGCTCCAAAAACTGGCCTGCGTTATACAGGGTGACCAAAATATCATGTCAAAATTGTCAATTGAAAAATTGAAAAATCTCGATTTTTTTTAAATGCAACGCCCTATATATTTTCATACCATGCGATGGAGAATTAAATTCTCTACAACTTTGCTATACCTAAAAATGCGAAGTTTACAAATAGCTTATATGTAAAATAACGTAGTAGGCTCCTGTCAAAGGATAATCTGGACAAATTTCGATTCACATAAGGTTTAATAGAAAAGCGACACTAATAATTGTGAAATGAATTACTCTGAAGAAGAATTAGTAAATGAATAATAGAATAATTAGTAAAACTCATGGTAACTGTTTATTGGCAAGTCGTATTTACCAAACTAATAATTCAGATTTACAAAGATATGCAGTATCCAAAACAGTAAATTAACATCGTGCATATCTAATAAAAGTAATAAAGACCTAGTTAAATTAGTAATTAACAGGTAACCGCTCAAAATGTCTGCCATTTTTCTATAGACATTGAGCAGTTCTACGACGAAAATTGCTTGACACATTTCGCAGCATTTCCGGAGTTAGGGTCAAAAAAGCATTTCCTATCTTTGCCCGTAAATCTTCTACATCTGTCGGAGGAGTTTCTTTCATACACCCTGCCTTTTATATAGCCCCATAAAAAAAAATCAAGACAAGACAGGTCTGGGGATCGGGGAGGCCATGGAATTGGCTACCTATCCACTTATCTGGATACAAATCATTTAAGTATTCTCTAACCTGAAACAGTTTT